CTTCCCCCACCCTCCCCACCAGGATGTGTCAGGGTTGGTGGGCCTCCTGGGAAAGCATTAGGAAAGGGGTGCGTGGGGGCCCCTCGGGCATTAGGGACGGCGAGGGAGGTCAGGGAAGGCTCACCTCTCCGATGGAGCCGACACAGACAGGCGGACAGAACAGCCACCACCACAGCCAGGAGCCCCCCCAGCCCCAAGCCCCCATAGAAGTAATAACATTTGTCTGTAGGAAAAAGGGGTGAGTATTAGAGGGTCCCTTTCCCTCTTCAGCTCACCGCATCCTCCCGGTTGGCAGGGGTATCTCCACAACCCTCTCCAACAGTTTGAGAGGCAGAAAAACATACTCTCAGGAATTCTTCATCCTGCCTGTCACCTTACCTCCTAGCAGAGGGACCCACCCGTCACAGGTTACATTACTCACACCTGAGACCTCCCTCCGGCAGAGGCTCCCACTGCCAGCCCCCCTCTCCTGAAGGCCCTTGCCCGCCTTGCTGCTGGTCCTGAGAGGTCCCCTACTCAGGAACCGCGCACACCTCCTCCCCCCCGCTGCGCCCTGTGCCAGGGCCACCCTACCTGATATATCACCACAAGCTACCATTAGGCTGGGCACCGAAGCCTGTCCGGCAGATCAAGAAACCTAGCCCCTTGCTCTGCCTGCCTAAATGGCCTGCGGCGAGTCACGTGCCTCGAGTTCCTCATCTGTAAATGTGAGGTGCAGGCCCTCTGTTAGAATCCTCCCAGGCTCCGTGGCCTCACTCCTGCCCAGCCCTGAACTGGGCCCTTCCCATTCATCACTGCTCATCCGCACGGCCACGTAGGGCGCTGTGGTGCCCATCCCCCTGGTGAGGAGCCAGCCCAGGCCTGCCAAAGCAGGGGTTCAAGGCCAGCTCTGTCCAGCTCCAGAGCCTGCCCTTTTTCCTCTGCCCCAGGCTGGCAGGTGGTTCCTAGGGGCCTGTCCAGCTCTGGATGGTTCTAGGTTCTGTTCAGGAAGGGGGCCGATGGAGGAGGAGCCAGGGTTTGCAGCTCGTGTGGGGACTGGTGGAAAGGCGGGGGGCATGCCCAGCACCACTTGGCAGGGGGCCGCTCCTCAGCCCCACGGCAGCTCTGGGGAGCAGGCCTGCTTGGAGAGCTGCTTCTCAAGGGCAGATCCTGCTGGGCTGAGGTGGGGCATGGAGGATGCTCTGGGGCCCCACAACTTCCCTGCAGGCACTTCCTGCCCTACAACCCCTGGTTCCTGTTTGAAGGCCAAGAGGGAGGCTCTGACTTTACCCCAGAGCCAGATGCCCTGACCAGGGTGTGGAAACTGAGACCTTCCTGGCACAAGAGGAATTCTGGATTGGGGGGAGGGGCTGGGGTCGGGGAGCAGAAGCCCAGGTGGAGAGGAGGGGAGTAGGGGCAGAAGTGGATTTTTGTTTGTTTGTTTGTTTTTTAAAAAGTGTATCTTTATTGATTTTAGAGAAAGAAAGGGAGATGGGGAGAGAGAGAGACATCAGTGGAGAGGGTTGTTATTGATCGGCTGCCTCCTGCATGCCCCCGACTGGGGATCGAGCCCGCAACCAGGGCATGTGCTCTGACCAGGAATCGAACCTCGATCCCCTGGATCCTAGGTCGATGCTCAACTGCTGAGCCACGCCCAGCCGGGCAGAAGAGGATTGTTTTTAATTTTGGAGGGGAGCAGAGACAGAGACTGGACAGAGGACTCCTCCAGGGCCCAGGGAACCTCAAACCCATACTCTTCCTCTCACCGTAGCCTCACCTCATTCTGGGGTGTGCCTGTCCCTCTCCCCGCCAAGAGTCCCTGCTCTCTCCCAGCTTACCCAGAGCCTGTGGCTGCAGGCGGTGGGGGTAAGGGAAAGTGACTCAAGAATGGCCCGAGCTGCCTGGGTGGAAGGAAGTGTTGTCATGCCAGACATTCCCACCCCTCCCCTCCTCTGGCTTTAACTTCTCCCTCAGCCTTGGTGCCTCCCCAGCATCGTTAGGAGAGGAAGTTAGGGCTTTGACGGGTAGGACATCTTTCCTTTCAGAGTCCTGGGACTATAATGAAGCCTGTAATCCCCCTCCGTTTCAGCCATCCTATTGACCCTGCAAGGAGCCAGTGACTTCACACCTCGCCCAGGTGCCTCCATTGATTAACTTTTCCCTAGTTACTTCTCACACTGCATCCACTGAGAGCTCATGATGTCGGTGTATGTGTGGGACACCCCCCCTGGCTCCTGCATGAGACTGGGAGCTCTGGTGGTTTTGGGTAACTCACCTGGTGTTCTGGGGCTTTATTTAGCAGGGTGCTTGGCTGACTGATTTACAAACAGGAAAGCCAAAGGCAGCCAGACTAGATCTAAGCACTGCTGTTAGACCTAGGATTGATGACAAGTTAGTGTTCAGAAAGGGGGGATGGCCAATCCAGGTGGACTTCCTGCTGGAGGCAGCATTCTGATGTTAAGCATAAAAGTAAGTAAGGGCAATGGTCTGAGGCCCTCTGGAGAGAGACCTGGACAAAGGCCTCTTAGTGGCACTGTGATGGAGAAGGAGATGTGTGCTGGAGGACTGCACACCCAGTTTCTGAGGAGGGTGGAGACTGGGGAGCTCATGTGTAGGCAAGGGGTCAGGAGGAGATCTGGTGCATGGGTCCATATGCATTTGCATTTTCTTCTCCAAATTCAGAAACTCTCTGCTACTTCCTCCGCCCGCCAAAGTTCCCCACCAGCAGGACAGTAGGACGATAGGTGTTGGTTTTTTTTTTTTAACATTTATTATTAAAAAGTTTAAACAGAGAAAAATGGAAAGAATTGTACAGTGAACATATCCCTACCACCTAGATTCTACAGTTAACGTTTTTCTATATTTGCTTTATCACTTATCTATCAACCCATCTCATTTTTGGATACCTTTCAAAGTTGCAAACATCAGAACATTTCATCTCTAAGCCCTTTGCCATGCTTAACATTGACTCAAGTTCAGTATTTGTTTCTCCATTTTTTTTTTTGTGGAGGGCTGAGGAAGGCAACATTTACATTCAGTGAAATGCACAAATCTGAAGTCAGCGCTTAGTTTTTATTTTTATTTATTTTTAAATATATCTTTATTGATTTCAGAGAGAGGAAATGAGAGAGAGNATATATATTGATTTCAGAGAGAGGAAATGAGAGAGAGAGACAGAGATAGAAACGTCAATGATGAAAGACTCATTGATCGAGCCCACAACCTGGGTATGTGCCCTGACCAGGAATCGAACCCTGATCGTCTGGATCCCAGGTTGACGCTCAACGGCTGAGCGAAGCCCGGCCGGGCCAGCGCTTAGTTTTTAAACTATCCTGTGGTCAAGGCTCTGAAGCCAGACTGCCTGAGTTTCAAATCCTGACTCTGCCACTACTGTGTGACCTTCTATGAGTTCCTTAACCTCTCTGTGCCTCAGTTTCCTCTTACAGGATTTTTGTTAGGATTAAAACAATAATTATATAGAAAGTGTGTAGACCAGTGGCAGACACATGCTAAGTGCTGTGCTTTTAGCTATACTATTATTATCCAAACACACAAGCATGCTGTTGAGAAAGGGAGATGATCTTCAGCCGCCCCTGACGTCCTTGGACCCGGCCTCCTCAACTCCCCCTGGACGGTCTTCCCAGCTTTCATTGACCAGCGCTGAGTGTTTCCTCCTGGTTCACTTGCCCTTCATCTATTCACAAGCATGTGGTCAGCACCTGCTCAATGGACAGGGCTCATTCTGGGCTGCCAAGCTTTTCGGGGGTGTGCCTATGACTTGCCGGGCGCACTCCCTAGCCAGGGGCAATGGCCACTCCACGCCCCCTGGGCCAGGCAGGGGTCGGTGGTGAGGCGGACCCCTTCAGCTGCCCTTACTGTGGACCCAGTTCTGGGGGTTGGGGGTGAGCTCAGGAAGGGAGGAGGTCATTCCAGTTTGGGGATGGGTCCTTCTCAGGGACCTGGACATCTGTCCCTCAAGACCCCAGTTCTTGACCTCAGAGATGTGGGCGCAGCCCTCTGTCCAGCACCCACCTCTGGGGTGCAGAAGGCTGCAGGCTGTACTGGATACTGGGGATTCTGTGTTCTCATTGCAGTGTTGCTGCCAGGCTTTCTGCAAGCCACCTGCCCTGCTTGGGCCTCAGCTTCCCTCCCTATTGAGCCAGAATACCCCTAAGACCCCCCCAGATCTCCCCTGAAAGCCTGTCTCTTCACCTCAGCTCCTTCCCCAATTCAAGGAACCCAGGCATCCAGCTGCCCCACCCCAGCTCTGGGTAAACAGGAAGCTGGGTGAGGGGAGCAGGGGTGTGCGGAAAGTCCCAGCCAGGTGTGTGGGGCTATGGGGAGGGGGTGGCCCCACCCCTGAGATATGAAAGCCCCCCTGCCCTGGCCCTGGCTCAGTCTCAATGGGGGCACTGGGGCTGGAGGGCTGGGGGAGGAGACCCCAGGGGAAGGGCTGCCTCCTGCTGGCTGTGGCAGGAACCACTTCCCTCGTGACCCTGCTGCTGGCTGTGCCCATCACTGTCCTGGCTGTGCTGGTTGTGGTGCCCCAGAAGCAAGGACTGGTGAGTGGCTGCCGCAGCGCCCGGAGGGCTGCG